GCTCGCAGGATTGTGAGAAAAACAATTCAAAACCCACGTTTGACTGCACGATCCCTCCAGAAAGATCTGGCAGACACTGGAGTTGTGGTACACTATTCCACTATAAAGAGATACTTGTACAAATATGGTCTTCATGGAAGAGTCATCAGAAGAAAACTTCTTCTACGTCCTCACCACAAAAATCATCTTTGAACTTTGCAAATGAACATATAGACAAGCCTGATGCATTTTGGAAACAAGTTCTGTGGACCGATGAGGTTAAAATTGAACTTTTTGGCCGGAATGAGCAAAGGTACGTTTGGAGAAGAAGGGGCACAGAATTTAATGAAAAGAACCTCTGTCCAACTGTTAAGCATGGGGTTGGATCAATCATGCTTTGGGGTTGTGTTGCAGCCAGTGGCACAGGGAACATCTCACGAGTAGAAGGAAAAATGGATTCAATAAAATTTCAGCAAATTTTGGATGGTAACTTGATGCCATCTGTGAAAAAGCTGAAGTTAAAGAGAGGATGGCTTCTACAAATGGATAATGATCCTAAACACACCTCGAAATCCACGGGGATTACATCAAGAGGCGTAAACTGAAGGTTTTGCCATGGCCTTCACAATCTTCTGACCTCCACATAATTGAAAATCTATGGATAGACCTTAAAAGAGCAGTGCGTGACAGACAGCCCAGAAATCTCAAAGAACTGGAAGACTTTTGTAAGGAAGAATGGGCAAAGATACCTCAAACAAGAATTGAAAGACTCTTGGCTGGCTACAAAAAGCGTTTACAAGCTGTGATACTTGCCAAAGGGGGCAGTACAAGATATTAACTCTGCAGGGTGCCCAAACTTTTGCAGACGCCATTTTTTTGTTTTCTGTTATTTTGAAAGTGTAAATGATGGAAATAAATCTAACTTTTGTTGACATATTATAAAAATGTCTATCTGTAATTTGATGCCTTTTGGAGATTTTTCCATCTTTCTTTGGCTTCTTTATGCACATTAATACAAATTTTTAGCTGGGGTGCCCAAACTTTCGATCCCCACTGTAAATCCTGCCTAAACTACAGGGTGCTACACAATGGTGAGGCGTTATTCCTACTACTGAAATAAATGACGGGGCACCATCTATTCCACAAACACCAACAGTGGGGCATAATTCCTTCCACTGACACCCATAATGGGACATTATTCCTTCCACTGACACCAGCAATAAGGCACTATTCCTTTCACTGATACTAAGCATGTGGTATTATTCCTCCCATTGGTACCAACATTGAACAATATTCTTCCACTGATACCATTAGTGGAGTACTATTTGTCTCACTGACACCAATGATGTTGCACAGTTTTCTCCATGGAAATAAATGATGGGGCAATATTCCTCCCACTGATACCAACATTGGGACTCCATTCTTCCCACTGACATCAACAATGGGCTAATATTATTTCCACTGACACCAATGATGGGGCACTATTCCTCCCACTAACAGCAACAATGGAGCACCAGATTGACTCTTTTTAGAACCATATACAGAGCCCTAGGTTTCCCTAGGTTAGAAATCCAGTTTAAATAATAGGACCAATGCTACAGTTACCAGCAGCCTATAATAACTAAATTGCCAATGACATTACGTTGCAGCTACCCCTTTACATATTCCCATGAACATTAGATGCTCTGGAAACAACAATTTCAACCTAGATTCATACAAAAACTAACCTGAAAATGTGAGATGATCGTACCCAAAAGAAATTCTGAGACTCCAAACAAACATTCCAAAATGGGATGGAGAAGATACCCCCCAAAAAAGTGGGACTTGACAGTGTGACAACAATGGGAAGATACAAATAACAATGCATATAAAACCAAAATACATTTTTTTACAAAATATAGTTAATATGCCATTTATATGTTCAAAACGTCAACACTAAATCCAATTCAAACATATTTGTTTCTCCATTCATAAAACATTAGAATATTATATAAGCGTGTAGGATCGACACAGTTTGAGTAGGCTGCTTCTTCAGGATCCACACATGAATATACACGCGGGAGATGGCTAAAAGAATCCACAAAATACAATATATAATATAGTACAATGGTAACACATACATCACATGCAAAACATTAGGCCTCTTTCACAGGGGCGGTTAGATTTCAGCTTTTAGCTGGGGTTAGAGGAACTTATTTAGATATATTTGCAGCTAAATGCAGACAATGCATCCCTATGGCTCCATTCACTCACTGCGTTCAGCAACATTTTCATAAAATACGGTTTTATGCTTTAAGGAAAAATAAAGTTGACAGCGTCCAGGAGTGATGTACCGCAGCTATCTGTACATAAACGCAGTTAATCGCAGTGCAAAGAAAAACATAGGTAAACAATTGCTATGGGAAAAGGCAAGAATTTACTATCGCAGCTAAACGCAGCCACTTGTAAACGCACGTAATCACAGATAAACTTAATGTACAAATGCAAGTGATCTCTATGCCAGGAGTGTTAGAATTTCAAAATAAAAAACATGCATTTACAAGCGGCAGAACAACCGTCGTCCGTGTGAAAGAGACCTCATAATAATCGACAGAGATCAAGGAAAGTGACCTGAAGAGGTGGAAAAAAAATGATCTACATCAATTATAACATGTTGTATTTGAGGTATGTGTTACCATTATATTATATAATGTATCTTGTTGATTCTTTTAGCCATCTCTCCTACATGTATATTCAAGCATGGATCCTGGGGAAGCGGACTATGCAATATGCGTCAATCCTTCACGCTGAAATTGTAACGTTTTATGAATGGAGAAACAAATATGTTGCAATGGATTCAATGTTGATGTTTATAACATATAGATGTAATTTTAACTATATTTTGAATAAAACTTATTTTCATTTAATATTTATTGTTATTTCTATCTTTTCCTTGTTGGTATACAGTAAATTCCCACTTTCTTTTGCGGATCAACCCCATCCCATCTTGGGATGTTTGTGGGAGCCCCAGAATTTCTTTTGGGCTTAACCTAAATTCCGTATTTGTAAATACAAATTTCTGCACCCACCACTGACACGGTTTACAACTATGGTGGAAAATAAGACTGAATGCCAGGCAATAGGATGAAGCCTGACACAGGTTTGTACCCGAATTCAACCTTCGTTTTATAAATACTTCTTTAGCACCACAGGACATTATCCTAGCAATCTCTTTAACTTCTGATTTTGAAATGACCCCCATGGAATTTTTATCTTGCTTAGTCATCCCTGGAAGCTGTAATTATTTTACAGGAACGGGGAGGAGATCTGTACAGATTAACGAAAAGACAACAGCTCAGGAATCCGATGAGGAAGGCTCGGTGCCATGACATCACCCAGAACTGTGAATGAATTAGATTCCAGACATACAAATCCTGTGAAGTAAGTTATCATAATAACGTCTGTATGGAATTATCTCAATTGGTAAGTCTGATAAAATAGTGACTATTCCGGTAAGGTCAACCTGCGTAAAGTTGGCAAAGTCGCAGGTTCAGTTTATAACAGGCTCAATTAAAAATCTATGACTCGCTTCTTTGCCCCACACTGTCACCAGTACCTCACCAAATACCCAATGGGGTTGATTTACTAGCTGAAAAAAGACAACCGTACATCCAGTTCAACCATAAAAAACAAAGTTATAATTCTACACCCATAGTTGATCCAGAGGAAGGCAAAAAAACCAGCAAACCATGATCAAATTTGCTGCTGCAGGTGAAAGAATTCTTTCCTGATCAGATATTCCCTGGATCAACTTTCCCTATAAATAGTAATCGGTTATATTCTGTGTATCCAAGAAAGAATCCAGGACTTTTTTGAAGCAATCCACTGAGCTGGCCAGAACCAACTCTTGAGGGAGTCTATTCCACATTTTCACAGCTCTCACTGTGAAGAAACCTTTCCGTGTTTTGGAGATTAAATTTCTTTTCCTCCAGAGGTAAAGAGTGCCCCCTTGTCCTCTGTGATGACCTCAGGGTGAATAACTCTACACCGAGTTCACTATATGAACCACTGATGTATTTATACATGGAGATCATATCCCCCCTTATGTATTATACATGGAGATCATATCCCCCCTTATGTATTATACATGGAGATCATATCCCCCCTTATGTATTATACATGGAGATCATATCCCCCCTTATGTATTATGCATGGTGATCATATCCCCCCTTATGTATTATACATGGAGATCATATCCCCCCTTATGTATTATACATGGAGATCATATCCCCCCTTATGTATTATACATGGAGATCATATCCCCCCCTTATGTATTATACATGGTGATCATATCCCCCCTTTTGTATTATACATGGTGATCATATCCCATAGCTGATCTCCTCCATGCCTCGTATCAGTTTGGTTGCCCTTCTCTGTACTTCCTCAATGTTTTTTTTTGTGAATTGGTGCCCAAAACTGAACTGCATATTCCAGACGAGGTCTTACTAATGATTTGTACCGGGGTAATATGATATCTCTCTCTCTGGAGTCTATACCTCTTTTAATACAAGAGAGGATTTTGCTCACTTTAGAAACCGCAGCTTGGAAGTGCATGCCATTATTAAGCTTGTGATCTACCAGAACTCTCAGATCCTTCTCCACCATTGATTCCCCCAGTTGTACCCCCCCCCCCCCCCCCCCAGTATGTATGATGCATGCATATATTCTTAGCCCCCAAGTGCAGAACCTTACATTTATCAACATTAAACCTCATTTGCCACATAGTTGCCCAATTAAACAGAGCATTGAGGTCGCCTTGTAAATTGGAGACCTCCTGTAAGGACGTTATTCCACTGCACAGCTTGGTGTCATCTGCAAACACTGAAATGGGATTTTTAATCCCAGACCCTATATCATTTATAAATATATTAAAAAGTAAGGGTCCCAACACTGAACCTTGGGTACACCACTGATGACCCCAGACCATTCAGAGTATGAATCATTAACCACTACCCTTTCAATACGATCTTTTAGCCAGTTTTCTATCCATTTACATACAGATTTTTTTTTTCTTGTAGAGCTTGTAGACTTTACCTTACACAGCTGTGTGTGGGGAACTGTGTTAAACACTTTTGCAAAATCCAAGTATACCACGTCCACCGCTACCCCTCTGTCCAAGTATACCACTTCCACCGCCACCTCTCTGTCCAAGTATACCACTTCCACCGCCACCCACCCCTCTGTCCAAGTATACCACGTCCACCGCCACCCCTCTGTCCAAGTATACCACGTCCACCGCCACCCCTCTGTCCAAGTATACCACGTCCACCGCCACCCCTCTGTCCAAGTATACCCACGTCCACCGCCACCTCCTCTGTCCAAGTATACCACTCCACCCGCACCCCCCCTCTGTCCAAGGTTTTGCTCACCTCCTCATAAAAAGAAATCAGATTTGTTTCACAACTTCTGTCTTTCATAAATCCATGCTGTCTGTTGCTTAAAATATTTTTTTCCAGCAAGAACTCATCTATGCGGTCTTTTATTAAACTCTCCAGTATCTTCCCAACTATAGAAGTTAAACTAACAGGTCTATAATTACTTGGTAAAGATTTTGACCCCTTTTTAAATATTGGCACCATATGTGGATCATCTGGAGCTGTGTCAATAACATGCCCATTATGGACAAGAGCCCCCCATGCTCCTTTGTATACACAGAGCTGAAGAAGTTATTTAATAAATTTGCCTTCTCTTTGTCCCCAGTCACCCAATCTAGATTAATTTGTAAAGGGCCTACATGCTCGAACCGGATCTTTTTACTATTAATATATTTACGAAAGGTACATAGACTGCACTTTGCAAGTGCAGTTACACTCTGCAAGTGCAGTTGCTCCAGAACTTAGCAAATGAGAAGAAGCTCTGCTGACTTCCATCATCCAATCATGTACAAGCAGAAATGCTGTTTTTTTCCTAGCATGTGATTGGTTGTCTTTGCAAAGTGAAGTTTTCCCTCATTTACTAAGCTTTGGAGCAACGGCACTTGGGAAAAGGTAACCTTTCTCTTACCTGCCACAACAAACTGCGATCAATGCCTGAGCAGCTTATCAAAGCCCAAGACCTATCACATGAGGAAGCCCTGTATAGGAAAACCTTTGGACTTCGGCAGTGGATCAGAATGGCAGGGGAGTGCAGGGAATATAAGTAACGCATGTTACTGGACCTGTTATAACTTCAACCTATGACTTTGCCTACTATTGGCAATGTATCACTTCACTTTAAAGTAAACCATGGCTAAGAGAATTGGGGGGCTGCAATTGCTGAAAATGCTAGTTACCTAGCTGTTCTACTGAGCCTCTAACTCAATACATTCAGAGACAGCGACCCAAAAGAAATTTATTTTTCTTGTGATTACCTATGGGTTTCCCTTTGTATCCCGAACAATTCTTCTGTCAGTTATGGCTGCAATCTTTCTTGGTCTACCTGACCTTGGCTTGGTATCAAGAGATTCCCAAACTTTCCACTTCTTAATAGGTGATATAACAGTACTGATTGTCATATTCAAGGTTTTGGACATCTTTTTATGTCCTTTTTCATCTGTATAAAGTTCCATTACCTTGTTACGCAGGACTTTTGACAGTTCTTTTCTGATCCCCATGGCTCAGTATTTAGCCTAGTCAGTACTTCCACGTAAGAGCTAACAAACTCATTGACTATTTATACACTGACACTATTTGCAATTTAAAAAGCCACAGATGTGGGACCTTAACCTCTAATTGGCATTTTAACCCGTGTGTGTCTCCTTGTGTGTCTGTACCAAGGCCAAACATCCCAGGGGGCGGAGACTTCTGATCCGGGCCATTTGGGTGATATCTGTTATCATTATGATTTAAAAAGGAGCTAAACAACTATTTGATAATAAATGGCTTCATATGGTCATCATCCTTCAATAAAAGAGCATTTTTTGTCATGATCAGTATATTTTCAATATCAATGCCAAAATGTCACAATTTTTGCCAGGGTATGCAAACTTTTGAGCACAACTGTATGTAGCACCCTCTAGTGTGCTACTAGAATAGTGAAGTGACTTATAGGTAAAATCATTGTGTATGACTCATGGTATATGTGTGAGTCTATGATTGAGGTCAGGTTATTGCAGGTCTGCTGGATGACTCAACAGGTTGTGGCTCTATCGCCTCCTCATGACTCTGGAGGACCATAGAACCTTCCAGAAGTCAGTAAGCAGGAAGGGATGGAGACTTAATCTGTATGTTCATGGGAGTCTGGCCAATCCCAGGTTTGGGGGCTCTGGTAGAGCAGTGGACTGGCCCATAAATATGGTCAGGATGAGAGGAGTAAGGTGGAAGACAGAGGGCTAAAGAGACTGTTGGTGCCCGGTAGGCATGGCCGGATTTAGGAGGGTGCTGTGGTGGGCTGTGCCCTCCCAGATTTCAGTTGTGCCCTCCCAGGCCGGGGTGCCCCCTCCTCCCATGTACTTTTGTGCTGTGCCCACTGAGCTTCCCCCCTCCCTGCACTCACAGCTGACCACATCTAAAGTAATCAATCCAGACAGGAGCGGCAGAGAGGAGAGAGTGGGGAGGAGATGCAGGCTCTCTGTGATCTCCCCTCCTTTAACATAACATATAACAGCGATCCTCCATGCAGCAGGCTACACAGGATCGCTATTACATCCAACAGTACACGGCTTTATTACCCTCCCGCACACAAATTTTCAAGAGTTGAGCAACCATTGGAGGAGATGGGGGGGGGAATTTAATAGTGATCCTATGTAACCTGCTGTATGGAGGATCATTGTTATGACAGGAGGGGAGATCACAGAGAGCCCGCATCTCCTCACTACTCCTATTGTTCACTTATGTAAGATTGGGGCAGGGGGAGCTTATGGAGGAGGGGTGGGGGGGCTGTCTATTTGTGCTTGGAAGGGTAATTGAGGGGGGGGGATGTGTTGGGAGGCAGGATTGGGGAAGATTTGTGCTAGGAGGGGGGAATTTAGAGCGGGGGGATTGTGCTAGGAGGGGGATGGATTTGTTCTAGGAGGGGGCAATTGGGGGAGGAGGATTACTGTTAGGTGGGGGGAATTGGGGGTGATATGTGCTACTAGGGTGATTTGGGTATGCAGGGATTTGTGCAGGGAAGGGTAATTTGTAGGCGGTTGTGCTAGGAGGAATTGGGGGGGGAATTTGTACTAGAAGGGGGGGGGGGGTGGGGGATTTGTACTAGGGAGGGGGATTGGGGGGGATTTGTACTAGAAGGCGAGATTTGAGGATAAGTGGTACGCTAGGAGTGGGGATTTTGGGGAGATGTTTTTTGCTAGAAATGGGGTTGATGGGAGGGGTGATTTTAGGAGACAATTTGTACTAGTAGGGGGGATTTGGGGAGAGCATTTATGCTAGAAGTGGGGACTTGGGGATTTGTGCTAGGAGGGGGTATGGGGGGGGGGGGGTTGTACTAGGAGGGTGAATTTGGTAAAGGATTTATGCTTGGAGTGGGGATTTGGAAGGAAAGAGGATGTGTGCTAGGAGGAGTGATTTTTGGGGCATGGAAGATTTGTTAAGGATTGGGGGGATTTGAGCTGGAAGGTGGGACTGGGGGCAAAGATTTGTGCTGGAAGGGGGTTTTGGACTGTGTTGATGGGGAATTTTTGCATTTTTGTTTCGGTAGAATTTGGGCTTGCAGAAGGGATATATGCTTAGGGGGTGAATGTGTTGATTAGTGCTGTTTTTTTTTTTGGGGGGGGGGGGTGCAGTTTGTCACTTTCACATTGAGTGCTAGATGACCTTGTCCTGGCACTGCTCTTACTGCACAGAAAGCACTCAACAGATCTTTTCCTCCCCACATAACACAAAGCTGAGGTCAGATTCCTCTCAGCATCAATCTGCAAAATGTGTAGCTGGCTGCAGTTGCATTTCTGACTTGTGAAATTCCCTCATTGGATTGGCAGCTGCAGTAGCCAGCTACACACTGTGTGGAGGGATACTGTTCTCAACTATGTGCTGTGTGGGAAGAGGAGATCTTTTAAATGCCCTGCCAACAGTGACCCTGTCCTTAACTCTGCTGACCACTGTGTTCTGCCATGCTGAGTCCTGTACCCTACCCTGCTAACCCCTGTCCTCTGCACTGCTGACCCCTATCGTCTGTCCTGTTGACCCCTGTCCTCTGCCATGCTAACCCCTGTACACTGCCCTACAAACTGCCAACCCCCTGTACACTGCTCCACTAACTCTTATACACTTCCCTGCTAACCTTGCATCCTCTGTCCCCCTAACATTTTTACTGCACCCCCAAATCAGACAGGCTAGATCCGGCCCTGCTGGGAGGGGTCCCCTAGGCCCCATCTCTGCAGTGCACATTTCCCCATGTTTTAACTCTTTAAAAATGCTGCAATACAGAAATATGCCTGTTGATTTACCAGAAATCCAATGAGTTCCTAACTTCCAAACACACTGTGAGTAGCAAATGGGCTCTTGGGAACTGTAGTTCTGGGCGTCTGCCTATGTCACTAGGAGCTCTGCATAAATGTTACAAACCTGGGGATGAAGCCACATGCCAGGGGCCAATAAAAGCTGTTTTTTAACTAAAGGAACAAGGTTAAATAGAACAAACTATGCATGGACTTGCTAAATTGAGGTAGTGGTTTAGGGTAAATTTGGGTAATGCCTGGGCATAACCTTTAAATGCTAATTGTATTGTACCCTAAAGGGGCGGACTGACCATTTGGAAACTCGGGCACTGCCCGAGGGCCCGGGGTCAGTAGGGGGCCCCATGAGATGCCCCTGGCTACCTTTTTCATAGGCTTTTTTGAGTTTGGGCAAGGACACGGGCCCCATGATCCCCTTTTGCCCGGGGGCCCCATGAGTTGTCAGTCCACCCCTGGTACCCTATATACATAACTGATAAGATTATAAAAAAGAGGTGCATCGGTTTTAAACATTTACATCACCAGCAATTTTGGTTCAGAGGACAGAAAAAAAATAAAACACATATTTATATAAAATTGTCAACTGTCCATCAGAATCAAGCTCGGAGTGACTGCACTAACACAACCATTGGGAGATGGAGAGAAAGATATTTATGCACCTTATGGACATACAGAGAACAGGGAGAACCAAAATAGTGGGGTTATTCCATTCACAGTCCAACCAGCAGCTTGGAGTCAAGCAGGTGGCCCTCAACCTTCAAAGCTGCAGTCTATGAACATTGGTGCCATCCTCTAGCTCAATGGTGGTCAACTTTTTTGATATAGGGGGACGTAAGTGTGGCGTCCAATATCACCAAAGGGCTGCACATAAAATTCAGTGAATATTCATTATCAGAAATGTACAACAGGATATTATCAAAGACTCCGGGCATGGTTTAAAAGCTGGTCAGAGACTGTGGACAGAGAACAAGAGATGGTTAGAGATTGCAGATATGATACAAGAAAGGTTAGATACTGTGAATACTCTATAGGAGACTGGGAACATGCTTGAGGTGCAGCCCCCAACATCATCAAAGGGCTGCACATACAATTCAATAAATAATCATCATCAGAGATGCACAGGATTTAATCAGAGACTGTGGGCATAATACAAGAGAATGCAGACATGATATACGAGATGGTCAAAGACTGCAGACATGATACAAGAGATGGCCAAAGACTGCAGACTTGATGCAAGAGATGGTCAGAGACTGCAGACAATAAAAGAGATGGTCAGACTGCAGACATGGTACAAGAGATGGTCAGAGACTGCAAACATGATACAAGAGATGGCCACAGACTGCAGACATGATACAAGAGATGATCAGAGACTGCAAACATGACATAAGAGATGGCCACAGACTGCAGACATGATACAAGAGATGGCCACAAACTGCAGACATGATACTAGAGATGGCCACAGACTGCAGACATGATACAAGAGATGGTCACAGACTGCATACATGATACAAGAGCTGATCAGAGTCTGCAGACATGATAAAGAGAGATGATTAGAGACTGTAGACATGATAAAAGAGATTGTCAGAGACTACAGACATGATACAAGAGATGGCCACACAGACTGCAGACATGATACAAGAGATGGTCAGAGACTGCAGATATGATGCAAGAGATGGTCAGAGACTGCAGACATGATACAAGAGATGGTCAGAGACTGCAGACATGATACAAGAGATGGTCAGAGACTGCAGATATGATACAAGAGATGGTCAGAGACTGCAGACATGATACAAGAGATAGTCAGAGACTGGGGATATAGTAAAAGAGATGGTCAGAGACTGCAAACATGATAAAAGAGATGGTCAGAGACTGGGGACATGATACAAAAGATTGTCAGAGACTGCAGACATGATACAAGAGATGGTCAGAGACTGCAGACATGATACAAGAGATGGCCACAGACTGCAGATATGATACAAGAGATGGTCAGAGACTGCAGACATGATACAAGAGATGGTCAGAGACTGCGGACATGATACAAGAGATAGTCAGAGACTGCAGACATGATACAAGAGAGTCAGAGACTGGAGACATAGTAAAAGAGATGGTCAGAAACTGCAAACATGATAAAAGAGATGGCCAAAGACTGCAGACATGATGCAAGAGAGATGGTCAGAGACTGCAGACAATAAAAGAGATGGTCAGAGACTGCAAACATGATATAAGAGATGGCCACAGACTGCAGACATGATACAAGAGATGGTCACAGACACAAACATGATGTAAGAGATGGTCAGAGACTGCAGACATGATACAAGAGATGGTCAGAGACTGCAGATATGATACAAGAGATGGTCAGAGACTGCAGACATGATACAAGAGATAGTCAGAGACTGGGGACATAGTAAAAGAGATGGTCAGAAACTGCAAACATGATAAAAGAGATAGCCAAAGACTGCAGACATGATAAAAGAGATGGTCAGAGACTGCAGACATGAAAGAGATGGTCAGAGACTGCAAGCATGATATCAGAGATGGCCACAGACTGCAGACATGACTGCAGACAATGAAAAGAGATGGTCAGAGACTGCAACATGATACAAGAGATGGTCAGAGACTGCAGACATGATACAAGAGATGGTCAGAGACTGCAGACATGATGGTAAGCAGATCAGAGGATGGCCACAGACTGCAGACATGATACAAGAGATTGGTCACAGACACAAACATGATGTAAGAGATGGTCGGAGACTGCAGACATGATACAAGAGATGGTCAGAGACTGCAGACATGATACAAGAGATAGTCAGAGACTGGGGACATAGTAAAAGAGATGGTCACAAACTGCAAACATGATAAAAGAGATGGCCAAAGACTGCAGACATGATGCAAGAGATGGTCAGAGACTGCAGACAATAAAAGAGATGGTCAGAGACTGCAAACATGATAAAAGAGATGGCCAAAGACTGAAGACATGATGCAAGAGATGGTCAGAGACTGCAGACAATAAAAGAGATGGTCAGAGACTGCAAACATGATAAAGAGATGGTCAGAGACTGGGGACATGATACAAACAATTGTCAGAGACTGCAGACATGATACAAGAGATGGTCAGAGACTGCAGACATGATACAAGAGATGGCCACAGACTGCAGATATGATACATGAGATGGCCACAGACTGCTGGCATGATACAAGAGATGGTCACAGACTGCAGACATGATACAAGAGATGGTCACAGACTGCAGACATGATACAAGAGATGGTCACAGACTGCAGACATGATACAAGAGATAGTCAGAGAGAGACTGGGGACATAGTAAAAGAGATGGTCAGAGACCGCAAACATGATAAAAGAGATAAGAGACTGGGGACATGATACAAGAGATAGTCAGAGACTGGGGACATAGTAAAAGAGATGATCAGAGACTGCAAACATGATACAAGAGATGGTCAGAGACTGCAGACATGATACAAGAGATGGCCACAGACTGCAGATATGATACATGAGATGGCCACAGACTGCAGACATGATACAAGAGATGGTCACAGACTGCAGACATGATACAAGAGATGGTCACAGACTGCAGACATGATAAAAGAGATGATCAGGGACTGCAGACATGATACAAGACATGATGAGAGACTGCAAACATGATGTAAGAGATGGTCAGAGACTGCAGACGTGATACAAGAGATGGTCAGAGATTGCAGATATGATACAAGAGATGGTCAGAGACTGCAGACATTATACAAGAGATGGTCAGAGACTGCGGACATGATACAAGAGATGGTCAGAGACTGCGGACATGATACAAGAGATAGTCAGAGACTGCAGACATGATACAAGAGATGGTCACAGACACAAACATGATGTAAGAGATGGTCAGAGACTGCAGATATGATACAAGAGATGGTCAGAGACTGCAGACATGATACAAGAGATAGTCAGAGACTGGGGACATAGTAAAAGAGATGGTCAGAAACTGCAAACATGATAAAAGAGATGGCCAAAGACTGCAGACATGATGCAAGAGATGGTCAGAGACTGCAGACAATAAAAGAGATGGTCAGAGACTGCAAACATGATATAAGAGATGGCCACAGACTGCAGACATGATACAAGAGATGGTCACAGACACAAACATGATGTAAGAGATGGTCAGAGACTGCAGACATGATACAAGAGATGGTCAGAGACTGCAGATATGATACAAGAGATGGTCAGAGACTGCAGACATGATACAAGAGATAGTCAGAGACTGGGGACATAGTAAAAGAGATGGTCAGAAACTGCAAACATGATAAAAGAGATGGTAAGAGACTGGGGACATGATACAAAATATCTTAGGTCAGAGACTGGGGACATGCTTTAGGAGACAGTCATAAACTGGAGACATATTGCATGAGGCTGTTAGAAATCATTACAATAACAAGGCAATAGGGAAATACAGATTAGTCTTTGCAGGGCCCCCAAGGGCCACACAAAAAAAGACACAGGGCCACAGACTGGGCACCAGAGCTCTAGCTGATTAACAAAGTATGTACTGTACAGTATGTTTGAAACACAAAAAATCTTGAATAGTGATGTACAATTTTGGCAAGCAGGGGACGGTTCACAAATATGTATTTCAATGGCGCATTCAACTATTTGGCTTGACCGACACATTTCACATGTGCCATAAAAAAATGGAATTTGTAAAACAAAAAATTAAGTTCACCCCCAATTCCCTGAGCGGAGAGCTCAGCGCAAAACTCCCCATGGTAACCGTACCTTTGCTTTGACTTGTTTACGCCAACGTACGATGTTTACGGTGAACGGCTTCAGCAAACCATCAAAAATCTCAACTTCCTTCCATGGCGGATTACCCTTGTTGGCGGATAATGACCCTCTCAGGAATAGACTGATACATACGTATCTGCAGCCATTTGGCCGGGGTAAATGATGCCGCGTGTAGCTCAGCATCTGTTTTCATAGTATTTGTACTGTGCATTATATACAAGGTGACTACAATGCTTTGGAAAGTTTATCAGCCAATCTCAAAGTCCCCCAAGCCGCAGAAAGCCACGAGTGGGTAACCCTAGATGCCGGGAATAAAATATGTGAGCAGCATTGTGACCACACATGACCTCGATTAAAGCAAGAGTATTAAATTACATCTTCATCATAAAACTGGAACTGAACATTGTAATTCGGCTGAAAAGGAAAATAAACAAATTAGACATGCAAATATCTGAGATCTTACATCAATGGCTGGAGTCACAGTATGAAAGAGAGCTGGGGCCTGCCGTCAATTAAAGTGACACTAAACTCTGCTTTAAAAAAAAAAAAAAAATCAATTCAAGTATGTATTTCTAAGAAAATTCCCTTCTATTGCTCTCAGCCGCCTCCTTATCTTCAAATGCCTTTTTTTTGTGTGTGACCTGACTTCCTGTTAGAGGGTGACTACGTTCATTTCCCATGGTCCCACCGTATGTAGGAACGTAGCCATCCCACGCCTGCACACTCCAGAGATGGATTATGGACTATGGGATTTGTAGTTGTGCACATGACAACAATTAATGTGCACTGCTTGTTCCAAAAAAACAGAATTGAGGGGGAAAAGGAGATCAGAAGCTCACGAAGGACATTATACGATATAGATATATATAGATACGCACCTTCCTTACCCCAGACACCACTAAACTACTTGTACACTCCCTGATTATCTCACGCCTTGACTACTGCAACTCCCTCCTCACCGGCCTACCCCAGTGCAAGCTCTCCCCGCTTCAGACCATCCTGAACTCAGCGGCCAGACTCATCCACCTCACCAGCCGCTCCCCTTCTGCCTATCCCTCCACTGGCTCCCTATTGCCCAACGCATCAAATTCAAACTACTCACTCTGACCTACAAAGCCATTCACAACACTGCCCCTAACTACCTGTAAGGGACCGCCCGGCGGTACCACTAGCACTCCACTGATCGGTTGCTCCCAGCGTACGGAGTCTAAGCCCCAGAGTACTTGTTCACCAGAGCTCCTGATGGTGGGGATGGACTTGGAGTACCCTGGGACCAGGTCGTGACTACTGAGGACACCCGTCAGTGGTAGGGGTATTCGCCAGGGGCTCCCACGGGAGAGAGCCAGGTATGAGGAGGTCTGGAGAACCCCGGCTTGAGAGGGATAAACAAATTGAGCAACCAAGGGTGGCTGGGTCGGACTATGGGGACGTCAATTAAAGTGACAAACTCTGCTTTAAAAAAAAAAAAAATCAATTAGTATGTATTTCTAAGAAAATTCCCTTCTATTGCAGAGCTCCATCTTCAAAACAGTTTTTTTGTGGGGTATTCGCCTGTTAGAGGGTGACTACGTTCATTTCCCATGGTCCCGGTTATGTAGGAGAGAGTCAGAGATGGGGACTATGGGATTTGTAGTTGTGCACATGACAACAATTAATGTGAGGGTCATGTAAGAAACAGAATTGAGGGGGGAAAGGATGGACATTTACGATATAGTTTATATAGATACGCACCTTCCTTACCCCAGACACTCCACTAAACTACTGTGTACACTCCCCTGATTATCTCACGCCTCGACTACTGCATACTCCCTCCTGCAGTCAAGTGCATCACCGGGCTACTGATTATCTCACGGCCTCGCCCTCTCCAGACGCTCTCTCAGCCCGCTTCAGACCAGGCCAGTTTTCAAACATATCAAATTCAAGCCGGGCCCCTAACTACTACCTGTAAGGGACCGCCCGGTACCAAGCACTATGGGGGACGGTTACGGAAGGTACAGAGT